GATTTTTACAACAAGGGAAACCATCTGGTTTTCCTTTTCACCTGGTGTTTAAAAAGGAAGAGCCTTCAAGAAGATCTTCTCATCCTCAAATGAAAACACAAATTATTTTTTTGTATTCAAAGTCATCCTTCTTTTAAACTGCATTTTTCTGTGCTCTCCAACCTATTGTACTTAGTTAAATGTTTCATGGAATTCTTTGTTTTCATGTACAGTCAACTCTTGATTATCTCAATTCAACAATAAAATTGAACAAATATTTATTGAGCACTTGCTAATAGTGCAGCTAATCTAAACTAGCAGACCATCTTAAAAATAATTCATATTTGGTTTTGTAATACATTATGATTTTATTATAAAAATACCTTGATTTGTATAGTGCTTTATAATTTTCAGAGCACTTTCACATACATTATCTCATTTGATTTTATGCAGATTCACTTCCCTACTTAGGAGAGGTTGATTTGGCTTAGGCTGATTGATATTAATATTAATTTGCATTCACTAAGCACACACTGGCTGAACAGCGGGAGCAGGCGGCTGCTGGAGTGTGCCGAGGGGAAGGGGAAGCTCGTCTGCGATTACAGCTCTGAGGTGGACAATAGGGCTGATGCACATAATAGAGCAGTAATGACCACACATACACACTGGCATATATGCCTTCATTTATTTTCCCATTGCTATTAACCACTGAAACAGGCATTTTGGAGGTTTAAAATGGATAGCTAATTATGATGGGCAAATAGGATGGCATAATAATTGTGTTTGGATGAGTCACTCACTCGAGATTTAGTAGTTGAGGAAACCTTTGTGACTCTCAGTATTGACTCTGGAAAAAGAATTTAAATGGAAATGAACAAAGTAACCACAGAGAGGACTTCAGCATCGGCTCAGAAAGTGGAGGCTGATGGCAGCAAATCCATTAGTGGAGGAGCTGATGTTAGCCAAATAGAAAGCAGTGGCCATTTTACTTCTGGAAGCACATTCAGACTTTGGTTTTGTTGGGAGAACAATGTGAGGAGTAGAGAGAATGTAAATGCCAGTTTGGGACTTTGGGATTCAACCTGAGCAACAAAAGCATCTTCTAGCTCACAAGGTGGTGTGGGAATTCCAAGAGAGGATGTGTGTAAAGTTTTCAACACAATGGCTGGCACATACTAGGCACTTAATAGATTACTTGTATTAGGTTTCAAAAATTACTGTTACTGGTTGCTTTTGTTCCCTAGAAGAGACACCCACTCTGCCAGACCCAAGGCAGCAATTTGAAAGCAGAATGGCCATAGCAGGCCATGCTGTGGGCAGCAGGTTCAGTGTACAGTGACAAATACTAGAAAGGAAGAAAGGTCATATTCCTTTTTCTTAAAACTCAGAGAGTGAACTTACAAGAGGCAAGAGATTGAGCAGAATACTTCTACTAGCCAGTCCAAAACAGCAAAGCAGGCAGACAGGCCTGATCAAGGCCTCTGTCAGGAGAAGAATACAAACAGAAGAGATGGAAGGAGCAATGCTCTTAGAATCAAGGAAGCTGTGAGAACCGAAGAAATCTTTTCTGCTGTGTCCATTCTGGATTAATGCAATGCAGTCAAAACACAAAGGAAGTATCACAAGTTAGCTCACATTTCTGGCAGACAGAGAAGTTTCTGTTAGTCTCTTTGGGGCCTCAGCATCTTTTGGAAATCCAATGAAAGGGATTGTCCTCTCTTCAGAAAGAAGCAGATGTGATGTATACCTCCACAGCAAAGGCTATGTGCAATTTCAAGGGACTTGTGGACCCCTTTAAACTCAGATTAAGAACCTCTATCACCCAAGGTGTATGTTAGATGGCAATGATATCACAAAGATGAGCTAAGTGTTCCAAATCTCAAGAGATAAACAAATCTCAACAGATACTCCAGTTTATTTCATGTTATCAAGTTATAATTGACAAATATTCAGAGAAATGGAGAAAAGGCAGTCAAACTTTGGGATTGATTGGCATGGGTCCTGCCAATCCCAAGCAAACATTTCACAGTGAACCTCAGTTTCCAATAACAACAACAAAAAAACCCTTTACTATTACTAGTGAATTTCTGCTGGGTCCAAAAAAACTATTCAAATAAGGAAGAATAAAAAAATGAGCAAAATTCTAGAAAAAGTCTTCTTTCCTGTCAGGCAAGAGAGTTTCAGAATTTTAGCTCACAATTTGCTATTTATCTCTCAGCACTTTTTCACTAAGAAGAATTAGCATTGGGCCCCAGAGGGACCATTTATTTAATGTATTACCTCTCCTTTCCTCAGTGCTGCCACCAGTACAGACTATCTGGAAAGATGGAAGAGCACTAGCTGAGCACTTCAATGGTCACAAATCAAGTCCCCATAATAAATAATGGAATATTTCTTGTTTGGACACTTTCAAGTTCCACAACTCCAGAAATAGCAATTTAAATGACTTAATTTTCTTCTCCATTGACTTTAATGAAGATCTCCTTAGATTCAACCATCCGGCAAAGCCAAACTCTCCAATAGTGCTGCAAGTGTTTGACTTGGGCCAGAAATGTCTGAGAAATGGACTCCTGCTTATGCAACTGAAATATGAATTTGGATTAAATGCTCTCATGACAAAGCTCTAAAAGGTTAGGTGCTCATTTTAAAAGTGAACACACTCCAACATGACTGCAGTGGCATTTCAAATATTGAAGCTGATGGATCTCAAGCCTGCAGATGCTTTATGCTTCTTTTTATTTTACGTTTCCCTTAAGAATGCCTTTGGCATATAACTATCAACTTGGAAGGCTTGGATACTGAATCTTTTCTCTTTTTGCCCCTGGAGGCCAAGCAGAAACACATGCAGCCCTGAGCGAGTTCTTATAGGCTCTGCTGCTGAGGGCCAACACTGAAGGGTCTCTAGAGTCCCTCCTAGCCCAAAGACATCATTTTATAATGGGACATACCTAAATGCAGAGATGGAAAACACTGATTTTGAGAAGTCTGGAATCTGGACAAGAAAGGGTAAGCCTAAAATGGGGGTAGGGTAAAGCTGAAAGCAGGTGTTAAAAAGTATGGTGAAAATAGGAGTGAATCAGAGCCCAGAACAAGAGCCCAATTTTAGCTTTAGAACTAATTCTTTTCAATTTAATTAAATTAAAAAAATTTGACACTGGAGATTGCACCCATGGGTGCTTAACTACTGAGCAACATCCTCAGCCCTTTTTATGTTTAATTTAGAAACAGAGTCTCAGTAAGTTGCTTAGGGCCTCACTAACTTGCTGAGGCTGGCCTTGAACTTGTGATCCTCCTGCCTCAGCCTCCTGGGCTGCTAGGATTACAGTAGTATACCCTAAGTCCCAACATTTTTTTTTAAATTTTAATTTTAAATTGAAATTATTTTTTGGATGTAAGATATTAATAGCACCATAATCCAAAAGTGGATGGGATGGGCACAAGCCTTGTTATAAGCATCCTTCTTTTTGCATTTCCCATTTTTCATATGATGGCCTCAGGATGACATTGACAAGAATGTGTTGCATATTCAGAGAGGGGAGATATTGGGGAATTACACTGATCAAATTATGTTATGGGCATGTATGAATATGTATCAATGAATCCCACTATTATGTATAATTATAATACATCAATAAAAGAATATTAGATTAACCATTGCTAGATATTCTCCTTTAGTATTCTAAGATGAGTTGTCATTTAATCCTAACTTTGTGCTGAGGCTAAACTAATATCAATCGTACCCTGAAAATCCCCTTCACTTATAGGCATTTTCAGTACATTAAGCCACCAGGTTACAACTTAATTTCCCTGAGTGGTGTCAACAAAAGTGTCATAACTGTCTATGTGAGCCATCACTTCTTTACTTTGCATTGTCAAGAAAAAACTCAGAAGAACCCATGTGTCTTGGCTGGATGGCAACTGTTGAGAACAGGTTGAGCAAATGGGTGAGCCAAACACAGATCTGTACCTTCATAGACTCAAAATAAAAAAAATCTCTTTTGTACACTGATCTGAAACCTTGACTCCTGGGAGTCTGCTGGCTTTTGATTACAATGTTTATTCTACTCTTCTCTCCACCTATTACTTGAGTGGATAGATGGTTTTATTTTTTCAAAAGAATAAGATTGAATAATGTGCATAATAGTTTCTATTTACATAGCCCTTTCTATGCATCAGGTACTGTTCTGCTTGCGTTACCCACATCAACCCATTCAATCATCACAAAAAGTCTGGAGTAGGCTGTGACCCTCATTTGACAGTTAAGAGACTCCAAGGTTGTCACTCTTCCACAGTTACTCACTTGGTAAGAGGCAGGTCCAAGGTATGAATCTGTATCTAGAGGCCTTCAAAGCTCACGGGGAAGGCTCTTCCATCTCCTAACCCATGAGTTTATATATAAATGTGCCTTTGATTTATGCTAAGTGAAACAAGTTAGGCCTATAGAGACAAATACTACATGTTCTCATTTATATGTGGAAGATAAAAAGTGATCTCATAGAAATGGAGAGTAGAACAGAGGTCCCCAGAGATTAGGAATGACATGGGGGTGGGGTTAAGGGGAGAACATGATTATTGGGTACAGGGGTGCAATTGGATAGGATGAATAACTTCTAATGTTCTGTAGTGCAGGGGTATAACTATGGTTGACAAAAATTAATTGCATAAAATTCAAAAAAATAGATAGTAGAGAGGGTTTTGAATGTTTCCAACACAAAGAAATGATAAATGCTTAAGGTGATAGATATGCCAATTTTCCTTATTTGACCTTATACATTGTATATGTGTGTTGAAATATCATAATGTACCCAGTAAATATGTATAATTATGTGTTAATTTAAAAAATTAATAATTTAAATTTTAAAAATGTGGCTTCAATAGATTCATATCAGTTCTTTTTTTTTTAGATTTTTTTTAGTTGTTAGTGAGCTTTCATTTATTTATGTGTGGTGCTGAGGATCAAACCCAGTGCCTCACACATGCTAGGCAAGTGCTCTAACACTGAGCCACCACCCCAGCCCATGCATATCAGTTCTTAAAATAAGAGAGCATCACTCTAGGAGGTTACTGGCCTGAGCATACAGTGACTCCAAGGGCTAAGAGCTCAGAACTTTCACACTGATCCCCATTTTAAACCGTTGACTTCATTATCCTTACCCACATACTTATGCCCCTTGAACATCTATGTTCTAATTTAGAATCTGGAAAATCCAGTGTCTCAGTACTGAGCTTTTCTTCCTTTATGTTCTTGTCAGTCAGCCTGTAGTATGGGGAGAGGAAAGAGAGAAGACTGGTCCACTCTTCATCCTTAAGGAACTCATGTTCTGTCATATGTGGAGTCAGAGGCCCAGGGAAAGCTCTGGTCACCCACAGAAGGATTCAAATACAACTTGTGTGCACAAAAGCATTCCAACTTGTTTGTTTTCATTTTTAAAAGTATTCTGTCTTCCTTTGGTCCCCGCAATTAGACAATGTAAGCAGATAAAAGTCACCAAATAGGACCTTTGCCAAGTATGATGTTTTAAGACATGAAGATAAGCTTCTGCAGAGAGCATGCATTTTTGAAACCTGGTCCCAAGTCAAATATCCCCCCAAAATGTCTGTAGCTAATCAGAAAAAAAATTCAAGTACAGCCTTTGCTGATTGATAGGCGTGACCAAACAATTACCCACACTCTGTAAAGATGCCTCCGTGCAACCGCCCACATATTTGCTGATACCTGGGAGAAACACAATATAGTTCAAGCTCTGGTGAAAGTGAGAGAAAGCTCTGAAAAGCCTGGTTTTTTTTCCACCCCAGAAATAATATATTGCCCATGACCATCATTTCTCAATCTCCCAAAGAACCAGCTTTCAAAGATTTAAATAACTACAAGGGGATTTAGAAAGTTGGACCAGAAAGAGCCACAGGCAAAGATTAGTGTCAGAAAGGCTGACAGGTAAATTGTCATTGTGGTGTGCTAGGTGGAGAGAGATGTGTGCAGCCTGTCACTAATTTGCCTCACTAATTTCCCCGAACAATGGGGTGGCCCAGCCCACATGATCCAACTCCGTGGATTAGGAAGAAAGCAAAAATAATAATAATGAGTATAAATCAAGCCTACTGCATCACCAAACATATTATTATTATTTAACACTTAATAAGCACCCATGGTATGCTGGAAGTTGGTTCATCTCAACAATAGCAGCTTATTTTTATGCATAAGACTTCATGGAAAGCGAGCAGCATAATATAGCAGTTCAAGTTCACTTCAGGCTTCCAGTTCTTCAGCAATGGGGAATGATGTTTTGGGGACGAGCCCAGATGCACAAAGCCAATGAGAAATCATTCCTTTTGGCTTCTCTTTGCCTTGTTGGGACTGAAGAAATGAAAGAGAAAAAGAAAAAAAAGAATGAAAGGAAGCAAGTCCCCAGAGGGAAGTGGATCAGGGGGAAAACAGGCTAAATTCAGAAACAGGGAAAAGGACTCCTGTTTGTTTTTTTTTCAAAGGTAAATAAATGCCTCCATACTGTGTGCAGAAATGCTCATCTGGCAATTACTCACTAGCATCAGGACACCTACTATCAGGACATGCAGAAGACCTTTGTTTTGAATGGAGTGGTTCAGTAATTTTAACCCTGGGAGGACCACTGCTCTCCTTCCCACTGTCCCAAAGCCCAGCACAGGGGCTGGCCTGTGGGAGCTCAGGGAATTGCTGTCTACATATCTCCCTTCTTAGACCACAAGCAGCCCTGAGATGTGTACAGAAGCCCAAAATAGGCAGTAGTCTTGGGATTAGGATCTGGGTTTAATAGGTGTAGGAAGGAGCGGTTAGAAACCACTTAGAGGAGAGCCAGCTTCAGAAAAGGCACAAACTACAAAAGTCACCTGTCATCTCACCCCAAATAACTACTCATTTATATCTTCTTTATTTTGCAATAGCTTCCCCCTTGCTTTTGATGGTCCATTGGACTATATCTGTGTTTTCACATCTTTCCCTTTCTTCAGGGCAGTGTGTCAATTCTCACAGCGAAGCAGAGGGTGGAATGGAGGTCTCCAGGGACAAGGGAATGCAGAGAGGTCAGTTAAAGGGTACAAAGTTTTAGTTACGCCCAAGAGATGAGTTCCAGAGATCAAATGTACAACAAGATGATATTTAAAATGTTACTAAACAGTCATACATTGCTGGTGGTTCTGCAAATTGGTACAACCCCTCTGGAAAGCAGTATGGAGATACCTCTGAAAACTTGGAATGGAATCATCATTTGACCCAGTTATCCCACTGTTTGGTATCTACCCAAAGGACTTAAAATGAGCATACCACAGTGACATGGCCACATCAATGTTTATAGCAGCTCAATTCACAATACTTAAACTATGGAACCAACCTAGGTGTCCTTCAACAGATGAATGGATAAAGAAACTGTGGTAGGGGCTGTGGTTGTGGCTCAGTGGTAGAGTGCTCACCTAGCATGTGTGAGGCGCTGGGTCCAAGTCTCAGCACCATATAAAAATAATTAAATAAAATAAAGGTATTGTGTCCATCTACAATGAAAAAAAATAAAAAGAAAACAGAAACTGTGGTACATATATCCAGTGGAATATTACTCAGCCTTAAAGAAGAATGAAATTATGGCATTTGCTGGTAAATGGGTGGAGCTGGAGAATATCATGCTAAATGAAATAAGCCAATTCCAAAGAACCAAAGGCTGAATGCTTTCTCTGATATACAGTTGCTAATTTGAAGTAATGTGGGAGTGGCTATAGAAAAATAGGGGTACTTAGGAATAGACAGACGGGAGTGAAGGGAGGAGAAGGGGTATAGGGGTAGGAAGGACAGTAGAATGAATTGGATATTATTTCCCTATGAGCATATATGATCATATGATTACATCAACAGCGTGATTCTACATTATATACAACCAGAAGAATGAGGAGTTATACTCCATTTATGTATGATGTATGAAAATGCATTCTACTGCCATGTATAACTTGTTAGAACAAATAAAACAGTACTATATACTTGTAATTTGTTAAGAAGATAAACTTAACTTTTTCACACAAACACACACACACACACACACACACACACACACACACATTGGAAACCAGATAGAGGCAATGGATATGTCAATTCACTTGGTTGTGATGATCATTTCACAGTGTATATGCATTATCAAAACATTAAATTGCACACCTTAAATATGTACAAGTTTTATATGTCAAAGATATCTTAATAAAACTGTTTTTAAAAAGACTCCATACCATTTAAGCAGCATCTCTTAGAGCTCCCAGAATCTTCAAAATGGGAAATAACCCAGACGATCACATTGTCTGACCCCCGATACTGCAGATGAACAGTCTGATACCCAGAGCAGGGAAGCAATCTCCCAAGGGTGCACAGTTCCTAAGTAATAAACCTGAATTTGAGTCCACATCAGCCTGAGTCCAAAGTCAGACACTTGTCTCTATACTGTATATACAGAAAAGGCCTCCTTCCCTTTTCAGAGGAAACAAAACTTTTTTATTTTGTTGTTGTGCCAGGATTTGAACTCAGGGGTGATCAACTACTGAGCCACATCCTCAGCCATTTTTTATTTTTGTATTTGGGACAATGTCTCAAAATAAAAGTTGCTCAAGACCTCACTAAGTTGCTGAGGCTGGTCTTGAACATGAGATCCTCCTGCCTCAGTCTCCTGAGTCACTGGGACTATGGACATGTGCCTCTGTGCCTAGGGGAAACAAGATATTTCTTATGAAAAGATACATTGCCATAGTACACAGTAACACATCTGTTTGATTGGAAGAGAAGGGCTGGGCAGGGACATCCTCAGTCAGGAAGGCTGGGATGGTTTAACTCACTCATTTTAGCAGCAGGTATTATCTGAGCTGGGCACTGTACATATGAAGCCATGGTCAGAGGGAAGTGAATAGACATTTCAGACAGGGAGTGGGATGACAGCAAATGTAGCCCTGAATATGAGCCTGCTTTTCTTTGGCAGCAGAGGCTGAGAGACCATTGTAAATCAGGAAGTGGGAGCATTTGTGTCTTCATGCCCTCCTTTAACTCACATTTACTGAGCAGCTATTATGTATAAGGCATTGTCATAGGCAGTAGTGAGCAAAACCATATATGGTTCTACTTTCATGGGTCTTGTAGTCTTATGAGGAAAACAGACCTCAGTCAAGCAGTTGGAGCAATATAAGAATGCACCGAGATTGGTGCTCTGACAGGAAAGAACACATGACTTAATGAGGCCAGGTTGAGGCTCAGGGATCAGGGAAGGAAGGCTCCGATGCTTGAGCTGATCTCTGAGAATGAATAGGCTTTAATCAGACAAAGTGGAGGTGAAGGGCATTTCACACAAAGGGAACCTGTGCAAAGGTCCTATGGGTAGAGAGAGCCTGGTATATTTGAGGAACTGAAAGGAGACCAAAGATGTTGTGGTGCAGAGCACTAGAGAAAGAGATGTGCAAGATGAAGTTAGAGAGGTAGTCAGGAGCCAGATCGGCAAAGAACAGCATATGCAAACGCTGCCTATTAGTCCCCAAGTTTGCAGTATTGTATGGGGAAGACATATGAAAAAATTTTAAGAAGAGTGAAAGAGATTATTTATGCAATCTAGCTAGGAACATTGAAAAGAAGCCTCTTGGTTTCTCATCATCTTAAAATGGTTTCATAGATCATTTGGAAATTCATCCTAGAAAGAAACTTATTGATTCTATTTCCTCCTGTCCTGGAAATCAGTAAGCAGCATCTGTTGTCAAAGAACATTGTAGGTGAACATGATGTTGAAGCCCTGATTCCAATTCATTCTTCTGGCTTAATGCTGCGCTTCCTGTGGAACCTTTCAGAGGAATTGAAGCAAGTCTATGAAGCAAATCAGTTGCACATAGACACGGAGTCACAGTAAGAAGGACAAGACCTTGGGGAGGCCCAGGCTTCCTCCAATCCCGCTTTGAGAATTTGTACTTTGAGAATCACTGTTCTGATGCCTCTTTGCTATCTTCTGAAATTAGACTAGGGCCTAATCTATGCCAAAGAAAACCAAAAAAGTGCCAGGTCTTTCCAGGAGGAAAACCATTTCAGACCACCACAAAAATAGACTTGGCCTAAAAGAATAGCTCTCCATGAACCGAATCAGTTCAGGAAACTAAACAGTCTGATTGCCATGATGCAGAATGGGCTAATTTAAGGATTGGCAGATAGGCACATAATGCTGCTCAGGAGTCAGTGGCACACTGACTTTTCCCTCATGTGCCCAGCTGGAAAGGGCATTCTTAAGCAGTCTTATTTTTATCTCCAATTTTGAGAATGGCAGGGCCAATTAAACACCCACTCCAGTGTTCCAGGCTAACCCATTATGTTTTCATTCAAGCATTATTATTATTAAAGGTAATTGTAGGTGGAGGAACATAGTCCAAAAATGCCCTTTGAGGCCCTCATACCATTTTTAGATAGAACAGGAGAATACTTTTGACCAGGAGAGAACCTTGCTGAGTTCTGGGTTTTTGAAATTTGGGGATTATGTTCATTAATGTGTTGGCAAAGTACAATTCCCAACTCCAAGGGGGGTGTAGGAAGTTTTCTCAACATTAGTTATAAAGGAACACTGAATCTGATTGCTAAGAAAATCCTGCACCTGGGTTAAGCTACTACCTTTGGTGGGGCTGGGGGATTGAGAGGAGGGTGGGAGAACATAGTATTTCCTGCAGGCCCATGTTTGAAGGGGGTTTAAAGCTTCATTCTCAAGCCTGGGAAAGCAAATCCCCCCACTTCTAATGTTGTTGTCAGCTGAAGACTGGAGACACTTTTTAAAAGAATTTAAAACATGAAAAACCATAGGTCACTTAAGAACTTGTGCGAGATGTCCTTCTGGCAAAACTGCCAATGAGTCCACAAAGGGCCCACATGGAGGGTCACTTGTTTCCTTCTTTGGCGACATCCTGTCTCCTGCTGATGTCATCTCCAGGAATACCTTCTGCCTTGCTGAGATCCAGAGGAGAAAAACAATGAGAAACAAATTGCATGTTCTTCTCTTCTACTCTGGCTGGGAGGGCATCGTGCAGACAAGGGAGGGAAATGATGAATGGTGAGGATTGACTGTATAAATGGATGTCCCTCCGCCTTCTTCTGGTCTCCCAGCCTACCACACATACACATGCATGTGTACAGATGCTTCCACACCAGGTGTTGTGCCATGCTATTTTGGAAGGTGGCAAAATTAGATAGTTGGGTAAACATGAGCTCAGCTAAGACATTTTTGTGGCCAGACAAAATTTCATGTTTTATCTAAGCATCTGCAATTTGGAAGCTCATTGTCACTGCTGTTCAGGCTTTCTGGCCAGGCACAGTGAAAGGAAAGTCAGAAGAGTCTG